CTCAACACGAGGCATTCACGTTCTCGCAATAGCCGAGACATGGTTGACTCCGGATGTGTCCGATCAGGAGTTGTCCATCCCGCACTTCAGGCTATACAGAAGAGACAGACCTGATCAGCGAGGTGGCGGAGTTGCTGTGTACTGCAATGAGTCACTGGCTGTTCGACAACGGGCCGATTTAGAGTGCGAGCTAGAGATGCTGTGGCTGGAGATTCTAGCCCCGGGTCGACATGGAACGCTCCTCGGCTGTTGTTATCGGCCGCCAAATAGTTCTGCTGCCTACTGGACCGCACTGGATCAGAACATTGAGCAAGCTGTTCAGGGATGTCAGCAATCCACTGTGCTATTTGGCGACTTCAATGTTGATTTTAGCAATCCAATTTCTCCATCTGCATCCCCTTTGTACAACATTCTTTCCCACTACAATCTCTGCAATTATGTTACATCTCCAACACGGGTCACGGCAACATCATCCACGATGCTAGATTTGTTCCTTTCAGCCTCCCCATTGGATGGTACCTGTGAAGCAATACACTTAGACATAAGTGATCACTTTGCTGTGCTGGCCCGGCTGAACATTCACACACACCAGCACGTGGCATCGTCAGTGAAAACCACCAGACGTCTACATCGAGTAAACTGGGACAGTTTCAGTATTGACCTCCAGAGGAAACAGCAGCAAGACTTTGATGCCCACAGCAATATCCATGATATGGTTCATTCTTTCACTTCTTCTATCATGTCCACACTAGACCAGTATGCACCATTGGTACCCCAGCGTAAACGCGCACGCCGCCCGTGCCCCTGGCTGACTGATGAGCTTGTGGGTGCAGTTCGTAAACGTAATCATTTACACCGGCTCCTCATGAGAGATCAAGCGAATGTACAATTGCGTGATCAGCATAGAGAACCTCGGGCCATGGCCCGTCGACTCGACAGGAAGCTGCGCAACCAGTTCTTCACTGAACAATGCCGATTGAGTGACCAGCGCAAACTGTGGAGAGTGTTGAATGTTGTAACTGGTCGTCAAAAGAAAGCCCAGGTCCCACAGGCATCCCTACAGGATCTCAGTGAAACATTTGGTAGTGTCGTACATGACCCAGCGCCACTCTTCAAGCTCCCTTGGGACCAACCCAACAATGTGGTTTCTCTGCTTTCCAGCCAGTCGCAGTTTCTGCCTTCGAGTCCTGCTTGAGTTCTGTGGACCCAAGTAAGGCGACTGGCAGTGATGGTGTGCCTGGCCTACTTCTACACAAGTTCTCCTCAATATTGGCACCCAATCTCACCAAAATTATCAACTATTCGCTCAGAACAGGCCAACTTCCTTCCACCTTCAAATCCTCACATGTCACCCCTCTGTTTAAGGGTGGCGACCCAACCTCACCTACAAACTACCGCCCAGTTTCCCTGCTACCCATCATCTCCCGTATTCTGGAGGCATTTGTAAAGAAACAGCTCACCACCTATCTCGAATCAGCCCAGCTTCTACCCACCAGCCAATTTGCCTATCGTAAACAACACTCCACAGAGGATGCACTTGCCCTCGCAGTCAACACATGGTCTCTAGCCAAATCTCGACGAGAGTACACCGGAGTTGTGTTCGTAGATATGTCGAAAGCGTTTGATCGCGTTCGCACGAGCGTCTTCTGACTGAACTCTTCTCTCTTGGCATATCTGGTACTCCACTAACTTGGTTTGCTGATTACCTCTCAGGCCGCTTCCAGCAGATCAGAGCTCAAGGACATCTCTCTCCTGCCGTTTCTTGTTCTCGTGGTGTCCCACAGGGCAGCGTTCTTGGTCCCCTGCTATTTGTCTTGTACACTAGCACATTGAGCACGATCCTGCCACCGGCGGTAAACCACCAAGAATTTGCGGATGACATTACTCTCCACTGCTCAGACACCGACCCCACTGAAGTATGCCGAACCCTCAGCCACGCAATCACAAGCCTCGCCACGTGGCTAGAAGATATTGGTTTGCTGCTGAATGCAGCACAAACTCAGCTTCTCTTCATAAAGCCCCGTGGCGCAGATGACACACAGCCTGAGGTGTTCTGCCATGCTGACAAACTTGCTATCACACCTTCGGCTAAGTATCTCGGGGTAATACTCGATGAGGAGCTGTCCTGGAAGCCCCACATTGCACACCTGAGCCGCAAGACTGCTAGGACCATTGGCCAGCTCTGGAGGCATGGCCAAGGACTCAGTTTGTGCGCCAGACGCACTTGGTTCCTCAGCATGGTCCTCTCTCAGCTATGCTATGGTTCGAATAGCTTTGTTCCATGGCTTTCTGCCCAGTTGCTTGGACGTCTGGAGAAGAGTTTCAAAGCCGGCATTCGTGCAACCTTGCAACAGCGCTTTCTCACCCCCACCGCACCGCTTCTGGCACTTCTTAGTATAGTCAGCCTGGCACACACATACACTCAGAAAGTTCTAATCTTTGTACACCGCTGTATCAATGGATACTGTAGCCCACTCCTACAGCAACTCTTTACAACGACTGCTCCAAACACCGTGCTAAACGATCAGCGCATCACTAGGGGCCAAGTTTCCAACTTGCTCCAAGTTCCTTTCCTTCGCGGGCCTGCTGGTCGCTCGAGTATGATGTTTCACGGCAGTATTGCATGGAACGCCCTCTCGGCTGATGTAAGATCGATAACTGCTGCCGATCAACTCAAGAGAGCCCTATCTGATATTGACGTACTTAACTTGTAAACTCTATGCCAACAGCCCAACACCCCTCGCCGTACTTCATGTTCCCTGGACTGTTAAAAATTGTCCCCATCCAACAAAGTCTGCCAATGTTCACACATATATTCTCATGAAATGCTTCCACTACATTTTATTTGTTATCACATTATAAAAAATTCACACAAATTGAGTGTCAGCATACACACAATGTCATAACAAACATTTCTATAATAATAATCATACCGCTTGCATGTCTTTATCTCTATACATTTCCTCATATAATTTTCTTCATCTTTCTGTGAGAATCGGACCTATAGGCCGGTAAGAAGGCAATCATGCCTGTGCAATTGGTGAAGTAAAATAAAAGTCAACAACAACAACAAATTATTGTGCTACCTAAAGTGTTTTAGGGAGCATTACTTTCCCTTCAGGCAAAGTGTGTTGGGGATTTCCCCCATCAGTTCAACCTGAGTAGGTCTAGGAAGATTGTGCCTGAAGAGCATTACTTCCCCTTCAGGCAAAGTGTGTTGGGGATTTCCCCTCATCAGTTGAACCTGAGTAGGTCTAGGAAGATTGTGCCTGAAGAGCATTACTTTCCCTTCAGGCAAAGTGTGTTGGGGATTCCCCTCATCAGTTCAACCTCGGTAGAGCATCCCAGACCACGCCACCACTCCCCTTATTAATGGCTCACACATGACGGGTTTACGTGGCTCTAGTAAAAAAAAAAAAAAAAAACCTGAGTAGGTCTAGGAAGATTGTGCCTGAAGAGCATTACTTTCCCTTCAGGCAAAGTGTGTTGGGGATTTCCCCTCATCAGTTCAACTTGAGTAGGTCTAGGAAGATTGTTGCTGTTGTTGTTGACTTTTATTTTACTTCACCAATTGCACAGGCATGATTGCCTTCTCACCGTCCCATAGGTCCGGTTCTCGCAGAAAGATGAAAGAAATTATATGAGGAAATGTATAGAGATAAAGACATGCAAGCGGTATAATTATTATAGACATGTTTGTTATGACATTGTGTGTATGCTGACACTCAATTTGTGTGAATTCTTTGAATTGTGATAACAAATAAAATGTAGGGAGCATATATGTGTGAACATTGAAAGACTTTGTTCGATGGGCACAACTTTTAGCAGTCCATGGAACATGAAGTACAGCGAGGGGTATTGGACTGTTGGCATAGAGTTTACAAGTTAAGTACGAAAGGACTGCGGTAAAGCATCACACAGGGCAAGCAGAAGCCAACACTGCACACCGGTGAAAAACTCCTCCAACCAGGATCGTTGAAAGCGGCGCTGTTTTTCATCCGTCTGTCAGGGCACGCACATCAAGTGCAATAAAGGTTTGTCTGTGCCCTAAACAACAGTGTTATCACAATGCTTAGCAGTATATTCAGCTCCGGGGGTGTTTCACCAATAGTGTTACATATAAGCCCATGCGGTGGGTCAATGTCCATGATTGAGATACGAGAGGCACCTGGTTCAAATCCTGCCTGGGAGCGTTTTTCCAGTCGTGCTGCTACCCACAGTCAACTGGGAACTTGTGGCCAGTCACAAGGGGTACATGGATGCAGCTAATGGGGTTTCTCGGCACTTTTGCCAGTGGTTGTGAGACGTATCTCCTCATCCGGCGCTAGGGTTTACCGGGCATTAGCAGCTGTCGTGAGTTCGGGAACGGACACGATAATTTACTTTTTTTACGGGCCTGTATTAAACTGCTTGCCTGCCTACTCGTGTGCACGCATGCATTCTTGCTGGAAAGGTCTACCTGTGGCGACAATAATTTTTTCATGGACTGATCTTCTTTTTTAGTGTTTGCAAACTCTTGGCTGCTGCTGTGGCACCTTTGTATTTTCGTGCTGCTGCGCTCTGTACGGCTGCACTAGCCGTATTAACTGTTGTACCCAGATGCACACATTCAATCCCTGGCTACGCTTTGGAATTGGTTTCGTTGCCTATGTCCTCATCTCTCTTCGTTTTGTTTTCGCTGCCTGGGCTCTCATTTATCTTTGCTTGCTTGCTTGCTTGCTTGTGTTGCTGAGGGAACATATGCTGGTTTGTATTCGTGGGTCCCCATGGTGCATGGGCCACGCGTACTCATCCGGCGGATATGTGTGAATAATAAAATAATTAAACTGAAAACTGTCTATGAAAGTAAGTTGGTCCCAACAGTGGAGCTCGCTCTATCTGCTAAATTGATTGCATACTAAAGTTCTTTGAAGATGAAATCGGTACATTCGACTGATTCACATCCTATGTGGCCTGAGAGAGATTTACACCAGAGACCGCCGTCAGTACACTTCATTTACCTCGACAGCCGGTGCCATTGCTCCTAAGCCCCGGTGGACATTCACAGCGGAAATAACCAAACGTGTTAACGCATGTTGCCAAATCAGTGCAACCATCAGTCTTCAAGCTACATTCATCAACATCTGTTCAAATTCAAATTAATGTGAACACAACCTTGGATTTGTGACATAAAGCACATGCTTGAGGATTACATGAAACTTGGGGTTGTAACAAGCCAGCCTTGCTCCACAGTTCTGCACACTATCATCGGAGGAATCCTGATATCCACTTGTTTTGTGTTTATCTATACTTGTCTATTGGCAGGGCGGTGTTCTCAGTGAAAAACGATGAGATTTTGCGGGAGGAATGTATATGCACAGACAGACAGACACCCACGCACACACCCACACGCACTCACACTTGTAAAATCAACGTGTTTGTGAGCGACCGTTGGCTGCATGAAAAGCTGTATACGAGAATTCCGACATCAGCCACATTGCCATGGACCGATTGGCATGGACCGATTGGCATGGACCGATTGGCATGGACCGATTTGCATGGACCGATTGGCATGGATCGATTGGCATGGACCGATTGGCATGGACCTATTGGCATGGACCGATTGGCATGGACCGATTGGCATGGACCGATTGGCATGGACCAATTAGCATGACTGATAGCACAAAGCAAAGACTGATCCATCTCAAACTGTTCCACTATATGGATCGATTGGCATTGACCGATTCGCATGGACCTATTGGCATGGACCGATTGGCATGGACCAATTTGCATGGACCGATTGGCATGGACCGATTGGCATGGACCGATTGGCATGGACCGATTGGCATGGACCGATTGGCATGGACCGATTGGCATGGACTGATTGGCATGGACCGATTGGCATGGGCCGATTGGCATGGACCGATTTGCACGGACCGATTGGCATGGACCGATTGGCATGGACCGATTGGCAAGGACCAATTGGCATGACTGATAGCACAAAGCAAAGACTGATCCATCTCAAACTGTTCCACTATATGGACCGATTGGCATGGACCGATTGGCATGGACCGATTTGCATGGACCGATTTGCATGGACCGATTGGCATGGATCGATTGGCATGGACCGATTGGCATGGACCGATTGGCATGGACCGATTGGCATGGACCGATTGGCATGGACCGATTGGCATGGACTGATTGGCATGGACCGATTGGCATGGGCCAATTGGCATGACTGATGGCACAAAGCAAAGACTGATCCATCTCAAACTGTTCCACTATATACATAGACGGGCAGATAAGCCGCGTTTTTGCCTACACAGTATAAAACCCCTTTGAATAAAGAGTTTTTGCCTACACAGTATAAAATCCCTTAGAATAAAGAGGGCCGGCATCGGGTCCAGGACCAATATGGTTCAGAGTGTCTCAATAGGCTGAGGCTCTACCAACCGTGTGGATGGTTGAAGAAAGGTCGCTGTTTCCGAACACGGTGTCTTCCGCCTTGTTTCATGCTGCTGGCAAACTATGAACACTACAGTCCATTTCTCGAAACTATAGTCGCGTAGGGTTTTTGAAATATTTCAAATTTGGCTGGAACTTTTTGAGAATAGTTTTCGGAATATTGCTCAGGACCGCTCCACAATTACTCTCATATAGTTTCTAAACGATTGGATAACAGACGCCCAATTTGGAAAAAATTATGCACAAAGTGATCACAGATTTTATGTGGTATAGATGCTGGCATATCGGTTTTTGCCTAGGTACGCGTCTATAGTTTTGAAATGAACTGTATGTATAATTGCAGGCCAATATCTCCTATCCCTGGTTTCGCTGCCTCTGACTCAGAAGTAGGTTAAAGAGGCAGCGCCGTCATGCCACTTTACGGTACATTTCTAAATGGATTGAATCGATGTGAAATATGACCACAAGGATGTACCCAATGTACTCAAGGAATACTTAACCCCAACTGTGACAATTTTAAAGATCTACGAACACACGTGCGTATTGAATAGCATGTCAACAGACCAGGGTGGCATGTAGTGTCAGGGTGGCATGTTGTGTCAGGGTGGCATGTTGTGTCAGGGTAGGATGTTGTGTCAGGGCGGGATGTTGTGTCAGGAGAGGACGTTGGGACCGAAGGAAGTTGTGTCAGGGTAAGATGTTTGGTCAGTTTAGTAGATTGAAACATTGCAGCACAGCCTCAAGAAGATCATAAACCTGAAATAAGGTAACATCACGAGCGCTGGGAAATACCTTGACAGTCAGTGCCATTCCAGGTATTAAACCCTGGATGGCACTCGCATATATAGGACCCATCGTTATTAGCACATGTTGCTGACTGGCTACTGCAGTTGTGGGTCTTCAGATTACATTCATTAATATCTGTTCGGGTAAAAAAAGAATTCTTAGCACAGTGGTGTTTGGAAATTGTGACTACTTGGCACTCTGAGTATAGTTTCTTTTGATTGATTTAAAAATCAATCGCCCTCCCAACTCCAAAGTTGAAGGCAGAACATCCGCCTTCATTCCAATACCAGCGGGAGTGCCCCAGGGCTCGGTCGTGGACCACTTCTGTTCCTGGCGTACACCATTGACCTACCCACTGCCTGTGAAAATGCTACAACCTCGTGTAGCCAGTTCGCGGACAACACCGCACTAATTGCCATTGCAGGCAGGTACATTGAGTGTGAGGCTGCGCTACAAAGAAGCGTCGATGTCGCAGCAGAATGGCTAGAGCGCTGGTACCTGCTAGTCAATAAAACGAAAACCGTCATCCTCCCGTTCTACCATGCTAACTGCCCCCCCCCCCCCAACGACTACCCGAAATAAAACTTGGCCAAACCCTACTAGAAACAGTAACACAACATCGTCACCTCGGCATCATCTTTCAGCACAACCTAAGATGGTCAGCCCACCTTGACTTTGTGCTGAAGAAAGCCGTAAAATTGTTTAAAATTCGCTTTAGGCTCAAATCAACTCTACACACTAAATCACTCTCTCATTTACAAAACATATATCCTGCCTATAATTGAATATGCATGCATTCCTGTCACCCCGCTCTCAATCGCAGCCCTTGACCGTCTTGAGCAGATCCAGCGCAAGGCGGCCAGAATCTGCCTCCGTCTCTCCCTCTACACTCCTCTGAATCATTCAACACGGCTCCATCGGCTCAAATGGCCGACAATGTTCTCTAGCCGCAAAGTGAAGCTCACCCTTCTTGCTCACTCCATAAAATACCAATATGCCACACAACACATACGCATGCTCAACACCCTTGCTCAAGTCACGGCCCAGTACAGCCTTCGACACGCACGCACTTGGCACCTCCCACCCTCCAGAACCGATCGCTGTAAAGACTCCCCACTGTACAAATCCCTAGAATACTACAATGCCCTCCCTGCTAGCATTCGTGACGTCTCCTCCCGACCTGCTTTCAAACAAGAAATCTGCTCACTGCTGATGAACTCAATCTGCTCCTGCAGCGCTCACCCTATCCCATACTTGTAAAGTTCAAAGTGATGTTAATCACTTTCCAACTCTTTAACCCACAATCTCACCTTCTCATAAATTTATCTCTTATTGGCGATGGTGCCATCGTGAGAATAAAGAATTCAAATTAAAAAAAAACTCCTCCCCCCACTCTTTGAAAATCTGTTCGATTCCCTGAGCACCCATCATCAGGATTTTGCGGGACACTAGCGGGGGGGGGGGGGGGGTCTACAGTACACAAAACAAGGTGGAATGAACTTTGCCATGCAAGATAACGGTCAAAATCATTAAACGATGCACTTCTCAATCACTTACCCCAGCATCTTGGCCAAACGCCTTGACCGTCACAGTACTGCAGTGTTGGTGTGCCAGGCTGGAATTCCACGCCTGGGTTGCAGGACAATCTCTTCAACAAAGGGGTTATGTCGGTGACGGTGCCTCTGCTAACACCTTGGGATGGACATTCTTGTACTGAAGGAGAAGAAACAAAGAGAGTTTTCAACGATGTGTGAAGGCAGCAAAGGAGTGAATAACCGACCTGCAACTCTGGACTGTGGTCGAACTCATATTTTACTTAGGTCACTCAATGCACTATTAAGCCGTACTTGAAATCACAACACAAGTGTGGTGATGAATAGAGAGTATAATACTTAGACAGTAGCGACACGTCCAAGACCTTCTCTGCCGTTAATCATAGTTTAGTGCTCAAAACACCCATCAGACACCTGATTAGAGTACATTTTTTTACTGGAGAATGCCTCCATTCAGTTTGTGGTAGAACCGAGATATGTGGCTAGGCAGTGAGCCATCTCGGGTGCGTGCAAAATGAAAGTATCGATCAAGTACAGAGTTATGGTGAAAATCCGAGTTAATTAAACCAACTACAGAGTAAATCGAATACCAAAATCATGTGAGCCAGAAGACGCTAAAATGGCCCAACTTCTGCGAAAACCAGGCTTAGGGTGAAAATCATTTTTTTGGAGAAAAATGATGTTTTGTAAAAAGGTTGTGTCGCGTGGACGCTCGAGTGCAGTGAAGTGGAGCCAAAGAGAATCTCGCTTGTTTGAAGAAGTAGCAGTCATGGCAGGAAGGGTTTCAGCAGTCAGGGAAGTCAAAGGGCTTCCGGTAAAATATTCCCTGCTACTCCTCTAGTCACAATGAAGAGTTTTTGAGCTGATCGAACGGATTCCATCTCCTTCACTCAGGGATGGCGAAATCTCTGCGCTAGCTGCTGCTTGCGGAAAATGGTGAAGAAATCGTCTCCAGTTAGAGTCGTGATGGCGATAGTGGGCAGAACCTGGACGACATCGACCCAGCCAATCGAAGTATAGAGATACTAGCTGTTTCTGGGCCTCACGCAAAGGGGACACGCGCAGCAGAGCTCATACATTTGCAGCAAGTTCACGAGGAAAAAGGCTAGAAGCGCAGTGGTGAAAACTGTTTTGAATTGAAGTCCTTGGCCATGAAGTGTTACTGAATGCCAGGCGAACGAGCGAGCAGATCGAGAGGCCTCCACTCGAGACTTTCCTCGCTGGACAGCTAGCTGCAAGGGATTGTACGGCGTGCCGAGATTTCACTTGCTGGTCAGCAACAAGCAGACACTGCAGCATGTCAGCACACTATGCGCATACTACGAACAGTGGAACAGTTTGAAAGGCTGTGTTCTTGCTTGTTATTGAATAGTTGTACTAGATTCACCCTTCAAAAGGTGCCATCTCAACTGGAGTCGGGTTTCCTTGTGGTGTGTAGCGCCAGAGCATGCCAGTACATGTATGCAGCCCCAGAATGTGCTGAGTGAGGAGGAAACAAAATTCATGCAGAACTGTGCATGGCCACTGCAGCCTGCAGCACCAAGGGGCCACAACAAGCCTGCCCCCACATGCCTACCTTGTCATGTCACCTAAACAAAAATCATCCATGTCTCTTCCTTCACTCTGGTGGATCTCTCTTCATTTCTTTCCTGTGGTAACAATTTTGTGTTTTTTTTTGGATTTTTTTAACACAATACCCTGGTGTGTTTGAGATACTTTTAGTACCACTATGAGTCGAGCCAAACCTGTAATATTTTGTCTCCTGACCTCCCATGCCCGGTAGAAGCTGAAAATGGGAAAAAGTCATTTTTGTGGAATTTCACCCTAAGCCTGGTTTTCGCAGATTCCGGGCCAAATATGACCACAGACCAAAAATTCGATTTTCAGTTTTTGTTCAAAAATGATCAAACACACCTAATATTCACTGTGTGAAAGTTTTGGATTGATCTGACATGTCTACGTGTTGCTACAATGGTATTCTATGCAGCACTGTGGAAATGGTGAAATTCTATGTACAGCAGTGGGATTGTCATTTTTGCATACAGTTGATAATTATGTCCCTCAGTTCATCCTTTCCGGGTCAGTTCCTCTGCCCAGGGTCTTATAGCATGAGTTTACAGGTACTCAGCCACATCCAAAATTTATATAGGCAGCCGAGCTGGGTGTCCGAAATACCTCCTGGCTGGAGCACCACTGGAGAACCGCCAGCGAAAACACCGTCAACATCTGTAGACGTCCGAAGACGTTGGCACTCCGCATCCTCTCCATCACACTCCACCCGTACTTTCAGATATACAGTATACACTGCTGCGCACAGTCTTCCTCAACAGACTCGGCGTCGCACTAATATTCTCCACACCAAAGCCCATCTGCCCACGGTCTTCTCCGCTCGCCAGAGAGTACTGCTTTCGCTGCCCACTGCTCGTGCTTGCGATGTTCCGCATAAGGGTACTAGTACTCAAATTATCCCTTGAAGGAGCAGCAGAGTCCATTGATTGGTTTTGCACTTGCAACCGACACTGGCATTGTCCCGGATATGTGCAGCGATGTCCACTCTGGCCAAATCATCGGCCGACTCACCTCCCAAGTCAGTGTCGACGCCAATAGCTTGCCAGGATGACATTGTATTTTTTTGTATTGCTTTTATTTTACATCGCAAGTCAAACGGGCAATCATGCATCAATTCTTTTTACACTCAATGAAAGTGTCGCCCTCAAATGAGGCGTTGCTGTAGCCATCATCGTATTCCTTCTGTTTCCGTTTCAAATCCTCAAAATATTTCTCCTGCGCATGGAGTGCGAGGATGTACAATGTAGTCTTCTTCTGCTCCGCAGTCCATTAGGCTCTTCCTTCGATACATCGATCACGATCAGTTTTAGGCGACTCAGCGCAACATGGCATACAAAGCCAAACAAATAAACTTACTTGCAACAAAGAAATGCATCCGGAACAGTCCAGTCAACCTAGGAGAACACCAACAGTGATTCGCGTTTCGCTGCACTTCGTATTTTTTGCCGCGGAATTCAAACCCGATTTTTCGACTTTTTCCAAAAAAGCTGTGGTCGTGTTTTAGCACGCTCCGGCTCATGTCATGATTAGACAGCCGGGGGGGGGGGGGGGGGAGGGGGGGGGGCTGCATATGGCATTACACTACTCTATTAAAAACCGGACATGCTATTCATTCATTAGGTTGATAGAATTGGAAAATGGGAAAATGTTGAATCTCACCACAAGGAATCGAACCAGGGAGACATGCGGCTCTGGCTGGCTAAGGCTTGCTGATTAGTTCGTTGGCGGGGCCTAGATCATATATAAGTTACTGGCACATGTACCATATTCACAATAGGGAGGTTTAGCTCCCACGTAAAGGAAACGCGTACGTGGGTGATCCGGGTTAAGTGGATGAAGGGCACCCACGTTCAATGTTGTGTTTAGTCACACGGAACAAAAAAAAACATAAAGCGAAAGGCCCAAACCTGGTCAAAGACGAAGCTACCCGGGCATAAGAACAATAATAATAAGAATTTGAAACTCGGATGTTGAGCCATAAATAAATGTGGAAGAGAAAATGAGCCGTCACGAACCATACGGCGAAACGTACGTCGTGTGAAACAACTTGTTTTGTAGTCAACTAGTCCATCACAATGTCATGCATGAGGAGTACTGTAGGAGTTTGGCTTTCGGCTTGTACAATTCGTTTTCGCAAAGCTTCCCTTTCTTTACTTATCTTTGATATTTATGACCCACCCAAGTTGGGTGGTGTGCTGCTTTGCTGCTTCGAATTGTAGTTAGACCGCTTTGTCAAATATCGTACTGGTCTCGTCATCGTCCAGTAACAATCGACATTCTTTGTTCCGTTGGGACTGTAGCTTTTGCTCGTTTTCGTTGCGCTTGCCTTCCCCTCTTTGGTCTTTTCCATAACCTTGAACCTTCCAAGTTGGAAGGCTGTCGGTTAGCGCTACGGAGATGTGTTGAAGCTAGGTGTCAGGACGTCGAATGTTTCAGTACTCTGTCCGTTTTGTGCCTAGTTATTGCACTTTCTGACTGTATTATAGTATCATGTTACAGTGATGGAGAGTTCCTCTTAACTCGTATCCATATGTCTTTTTCTCTTCCACAATAATAAGAATAAGAATAATAATATAGGTCGCATGTCTCCCAAATAATGGGTTCCACGCATTTGTCAACTGTTTCATCATGAAATAGATTGCAGCAGGAAGAATAGCATACAAAAAAAACATATACAGGTTCTAGCACATGACAAGTACATGCCATTTTTTACACCGATGTACATTTGTCAATGAAGTCCAGCCATAGCTTTTTGTCCCGTGCAGTGTTGAGGCAATCCTCGAGCGTCTGTCCGAGAGGGGAGACGTCGGATTTCACCACATCAATCCCCGGAAGCCTCGGTCGTACTAGTGAACGCTTTATCTTTGACGTGTCGATGGCCATGGTTACCTTAG